CAGAAAGTCTCTCCAGCCTATCTGTAGAGATAAACTGCACTAATCCCCCAGAAAAAAATCTTGATCTTTGGAGTGGATCCACTCCCTAGGGAATTCTGCAAGCTCAGGAGATGGTAATGGGCTGCATCAAGATGAGATGCTCAGTGCAGATCAGAGCTCTGAACCGCCGTGAGCATCACTCATCCTTAAGCCACACTACCCCAACAAGTACCTAAGAACCAAAACCAGGATTATTTTTTTTTTTTTAGAATCTCCCAAAACATCAACTTGGGGACAAAAGGAGTGTACTGCTTTTATGTTGCAGGAACAGAAAGAAAAAAAGACACCACTTATTGCTGCTAAGATCTGAGCCGCTCCTGCCGAAACGGCCAGACATCAGATCCCCTGGGGACTGACAAAGAGTTGGTTTTCTTCAAAACTATATAAAAATTTAATCTCAACAGCAAAATAATTCCTAGACTGAGTACAGTTATAGTAAATGTATTATTCTCTCCTTAAACCGGCAGTGTATTTCAGGAGACAGGAGTTTTCCAGGATAGAGAAAACCTCTGGTAAAATACAATCTAACGGGATTAATGGGATACAAGCCTTCATTTCTGGAGCACCCAGGCTCCCCAGGCAGCGGGCGTGGGGAAAGCATTTTGCTCCATGTCAGCCGAGATGAAGGAAAACGTTAACCCTACTGGTACAGACCTTCTCCGAGGAAACTTCTTCCATTAAGAAGGCTATGGAAAAGTATCTGAAATTGAAAGGCATTTCTGAGAACCAGGGGTCCTGAGCCTTACCAGCAGGGTGGAGGAGGGAAAAGAACAGGAGGAAATAATATAGGAAAGATTTCTGGAAAAGTAAAATTTTTAGTTGCATCCTTCCTTATTTATGTCACCCTGCTGCATGAGTTAGGGAGTACGTATAGCTCAGATGGAAGGGCACATTCCTACAGGAAAGAGGAACACGAAGCCCTCCTTCTCCAGAAGAAATAAATAATACCAAAGTGAAAAATACTGGAAAATAAGGGAAACATACAGAGAAGATTAAAGTAGATGTCTTTGAGAAGTACAGCTCTTATTAAGCTAAGCACCACGGATCTTCCAGCCCAAACAGCTCTCCTAGGGATGGCTGGCCTCACTTCAACCAGATTTGAAGGCTAACAAGAAATTTCTGACTTGGAAAAAAGGCAAAAATGATGAAGCAAATAGCCTACCGTGTGCTGTGCGTTACACTGCGGATATCACCTCTGCGGGATCCTCTCTCGGGAAAGGGAGGATAGAGCAGAGAGGCTTTTAGGGGTATTTTACGAGAAACTAGAATAGACACCAAAGGGAGAAATGTCACAGGTAATGCTAGAAATTATGGAAAACTGCTGAAGTTTTTACTGTTGTCCTGCTGATGGCTGCAAATACAGACCATTAAAGGCAGGACTCATTAACGATAAGGGTAATTAGCACACTAACAGGCACCAATTTTCTTCGGTGGAAACGGAGACCTGGGATTTTCTCTTTTTGCCCCACAGCAGTTTTTACACAATTCTTACACGGTCCTTGCTCAGACCTTTTGTTTATTAGACTCAATAACACAAGTTCCTGTGACTGTACCATGCAAGCCTGTGCTGTTAAAGGGCTGCGGAAATTCTCTAGAACACAACCGGCTCTTCAGCTTCCTCTGCT